ATTTTTCGTTCAGAAAATATTTATTAATAATCTGTTACATTTATATATCGCTTTTCGAGACACTCAAAGCACTTTACACAATGGGGGAATCTCCTCATTCATCACAAGTGTACAGCATACACTTGGATGACGCGGCGGCAGCCATAATGCACCAGACCGCACACACCAACTGATTGGTTGAGCGCCCCCTGCTGGCCTCACTAACATCACTTCCGGCAACAAACTAGCTTTTCTATGTGGTCTCCCATCCAAGTAGTATATAAGAGTTGCAGAGAGCTAGCTGCATATAATAAATAAATATTATTTAACAACAACAACAAAAAAAAAAAAAAATCACATAGTCTATGGAATTCTATACATTACATTTATAATTTAAATGTAACATATTACATTAATTAATTTATTACATAGACAATTTTTCAAATGAGAAAATGATGATTGATCAGAATAAATGTTTCATTTGTTATTGATAATCAGGGTTATTTCTTAATTCTTCTGAAGTTAAAACATTGTTATGGTGCTGTTTAAAAACGAACATAGACATGATGTCTGAAAACCCCCCAAAAAAAAAAAAAAAAAAAGAAAATCTATATATATATTAAAAATAAATAAATAAATAAACAGACGATTTTGTCTTCCTTCTTTTGTAAAAAGCTCTACTTGAAAACATTTGTATTTAAAATTTGGAAGAAATGTCATTAGTTTACATTATGCTTTACTCAAAAACATGACTATAAACAGTAGGGGAATTCTGGGACGAAACTGAAATTTCAGTTTGCACTTTGCAATTTATTATTTTTTTAGGTATAGAGTAAATTTGCTAGACTCTTGTTAGAGCTGCTGGATTTACAACATGTTAATTCATCGTTTTCCTCCAAAATAAATGAATGTAGAGTTAGTCAGAACTATTAGCCCCCCTGAATCATTAGTCTCCTGTTTATTCTTTCCCCAATTTCTGCTTAGTGGAGGGAAGATTTTTTTTCAACACATTTCTAAACATACTAGTTTTAACACTTCAGATCTTGAAAATGAAATAACTAGCAGAAGGTTTGAAAATGAAAACTGTTATTTAGTGCAAAACGACAACATCACTCACTCAGTAGCCTATTAATAATGTTAAAAGGGGGTTAATATGTGTTACTAAGATTAAAAGCCTTTACCATTTAGTTGAGTTCAATGGCTGGTATTTAAATGTTACTGCCATATGTTGCGTTTGGTGTAAACAGCCACACTGCTTGTCGCTTTGTGAGTTGTTACTGTGCGTTCACACCGAAGGCAGCAAGAGCGTCAAAGTAGCCGGAAGTCATTCATTTTGAATGGGAGTCGGCAGCAATAAGCGATGAGGAGTGGTGTGGCGCCTCACCGGTGCGGAAATCAAGGCCCAATCCCAATTCTATTTTTGTACCTTTTCCTCTTGGCCCTTAAAACAGAATGTGAAAGGCTTTTGGCTTCAAAATTTACCCCTAAGAATTGGGACAGCACTACAGCACACGTCATCGCGATCTCTTGACAGTCGAAAAAATTGATTAAAAAATAGATTAATAATTTTGACCTTAAAATGTTTTTTTTATTTTTTTTTTATTTAAACTGCTTTTATACTAGCCAAAATAAGACTTTCTCTAGAAGAAAAAAAAAATTATCAGACATCCTGTAAAAATGTCCTCGCTTTCAAATATTTTAAAAAGAAATAAAATTCAAAGGAGGGCTAATAATTCTGACTTTAACTGAAAGTGGCTGTTTAACTTGGGGAGGAATAGAGTAAATGTTGCAGTAACATAAACCGTGCACATCTTCCTTGACTAAATCACATCATCCAGGTATATTTAAAAAAAATATTAGTGAAAAAATTTGTGCCATAGACATCAGTAGGTATTTTACAAAGCATAAACGAGATGTTTTGCTAGAACTTGTGTATTTTATTGTCTAATGCTAAAAAAATGCCATTTCTTTGAAAACACAGCTTAACTGCAATTTATTTAGTATCTTTACTATTTATAATGATGAATATGAAGTAAATATAAATAAAATAATAAAAAAATGTATTCATAAATATTTATAACATGCACCTCTTCGCGAACCATCAGATTTTTTTTTTTGATCACACTGATGTGATCGTACTCATAAAAGGGTTTAGTTAAAAAACGTTATCCCTTAGTTAAAAATAACAACCCATAGATTAATCACAAGGCTGTGTGTAGTTTAAAACAATCACACTTGGAAAAAGGCATGAAAACACTGCAGGCTTGAGCTCCAGAAGGCCACCAGTAAAGCGTCTGTATTGGAGTGATGTTGTGGACACACAGGTCTCACAGCAGGACAGGGGAGCGTGTTGGAATGAACAAGCACAGTTTATCTTCAGCCTGACAGCCTAATTCTGGCTCTAGAGATGCAGGAAGACAACAATTTGGTTCCATTTCCATAAAAGAGTCCAGAGCCCTTCTGTTTCTCACCATTCAGCTCAAAGACTGTGACTTCAGCCAGACGGGACGGCCTGCCATTTATCAGTACCTCTCAACAGCCCTGCCTGAGGTCATGACATTACACTAGTACACACACACACATGCCACACATACACACACACGCACACACACACAAAGTCATACATAAATACATAAAATATATATACATAAACACACACACATATGATGAAAAAAGTGTTTCAAACATAAAACAATAAAATATTACACAGTAATCGAATTTTGAATTAATTTTTCTGAATTGCATTTATTTTAATGGAGAAAAATAGCACATTTTAAGTTTTTTTTTCTATTCAAGTATCATGAAGTACTAATTAATTGTCATTTTACTTCTTTACTATTCCTCAAGCTAGTAGTTTTTAGTAGTTTTATTATTGTAATAGTGCAAAATTAAATAATAAAATGTGTCTATACAAGCAATCTCACACGAGTATACAGCCAAGTATATATCGCAGTGCTACAAGTGTGATATTGCGTTTATACAACAGTTTGACGGCATAATTACAAATATAAAAAAAGAAAATCAAACACTGAGAGTCTCAAGAACACTTTTGTGCGAGGAACTACTTTCTTCCACCATTCATTCACAAATGCAGCTGAAATCAGAACAGCAGAAACTGTTTCACTAACTTCATTTTAGCTAGCATTTGAATGATTCTTTAGCGTAATGTCTAAAATGATGACAAAACAGGTGATTTTGCTGAGATTTTAAGATTATAAAGCTGAACAGCATGAAATGCCATCAGTCTACTTCCCAGTATTTCTCTGTTGCAATCGGGAGATCACAATATTACTATGGTATAAATATAGCACTAAAACATACAAAAGAGAGAGATCGAAAGTCATTTACTTGTTTAATAATGATTTGTTCAAATGTAGTTTGAAATTACACAATTTTTCTCTAAGGGCTTATTATGCAGTCTCTGTCACCATCATGTGGATGAACGTCGTCAATCGTCTTTGCTCAAAGACAAGCTAATGGCCGCCAACACGGTGTCTCTCAGAAATGATAAATACTTTAAAATAGGCACTATCCTTATAAATAAACTGCATGGTTGCAATCTAAACAGCTACATTCTCGACTAAAAAGGCCTAAAAGTACATTATATTGTCCAACAGCAGCAATATTTCTCTAACTGTAGAGTGTCCTCTTCTTGCTGCAGTATGTGGGTGGAGAAATACACAAGGATGAAGGGTGAAGAGGCTGGATGTGTGCTGTTATTTGCAGAATATCGCACAGCTATAAGCCAATCAGATTCAAGAACTAGACAGAACTGTTGTATAAAGTTATATATTTAACTAAGTATAGATCAAAACATTTTTACAGCTTGTTATTCATGTGTATTATACACTTTTAAATTGCATTTAAACTGTATATTTAATGAAGAGGTAAACCTTAAGGTGTCACAACGTATAAAACACAAAGACTTAATAATCAAAAACTCCTAATACAGTTTTTAAATTGACTATTCAAGAGTTCAACAGCAAAAATTCTGTGAACAAAACAATTAAATGAACTCTTTAGTTAACACCCTTTTAAAATATTAAGAGATTGAATGATCATTGTACAGAGATGATGGCAATTTTACTGGCCATATTCACTATCAAACATTGTTTACTTCACTAAGTCAGTTTAACGGGCGAGGGATTGATCGAATAGGTTTAATTGATGGAAGATTTGCAGAGAAATGTCAGGCTCCTTTATGAATATTTTGTAGTATTTATTTATATATTGTATATATTTATTCTGTATTTTATTTTGATACACATTGTGACTGCTGTATTATTTTGATGCAGATAAAATTAAGGTATTTAGTATTTTATTTTAAAATATATTTTTGCCCAACCCTTGCCATAATGCATTAATAATGCATAAATAAACACCCACGAATGATAAATCTGAAGGACCACTAAATAACAGGTATTTTGTATGTGCATAGCAAGTTATGACAAGGTCACTAGTTCAAATCCCAATCCAATAAAACCGATATTTTCATGCAAAGTAAGTTGATTCACATAAAGCGATTTAAATGCCTGAATGCAATGCACCTTCTCCTTAATACAGCAAGCCAAGACTTGGAAAAAAAAGCAATCATTTCCCTTTGACGTTTGAATAAATCAAAGCCAAAAGCAAACTTTACACCATACACTTCCACATGAAGCGCCACTCCATTCATGATTCACTTTCCATCTGAATCATTGATCTGCAGCAGAATGAGAGAAGTGAGGATGAGTATTTCCTCTTCCAGAGCCGTGAAAGAGTGTGGCTGACACTGTCCACTCAGCACTGAAGAACAAGTCTATCCATTCATCATCATCATCATCATCAGAGTACACACACACACACACACACACACACACACACACACAGCTTGTTTATAGAAAACATCTGGACACAATTACCCGCTCGACAGAGACGAGAGCAACAGTTATTGTTGCCGCTGGAGTTTTCGGGGGAGGGAGAACATACAGGGCAGATATTTACACATGCAAAAAAAAAAAAAGAAAGGAAAAAAAACTCAC